CTGCATCTTAAACTTTTAATTATTGATTGATTGACCGTCTGTATGCGTTTGCCTCGTGTAGGCCGATCGATAGCCGGCTATGGGCCTGCGGCTGCTTGCTGCATGCTAGCTGCCTGTTATGCTCCTCCTAACAGATCCCTGTCCGTTCAGAGCATGGCAGGCTATATTACGGACACTATCTTGAGGGAGCATTTGGCGTAAAGTCACATGAATTATAGGCGGTTCCCGTAGTTTGTTTAGGTGGCCATAGAAGTACAATCATTATTTAGAGGTTGATTAAAAAGAAATTGGGTGTTTTTTTGCATTGCCTATGCGTCTGACGTCTTGGAACTTTGCAAAGAAACGTCTCTTTCTCTCCAAAATGTCTTGATATACTTACACATTGAGTGCAGTTTATTGCAGCTACATTGATAATTTATTGAAACTCTCGAATACCTTCCTCTTGTTACTTTTAGCAAAAACGTTTTGTCGACGTGGCCTTCAGTTCCCTCACTTGTCGTCTGAGCCTTCATCCCTGGGTCCTCTTACTGGATTTTCTGGGCTTTGAATCCCCTCTTTCGGCCTGTGATGACTTTAATCGGGCTCCCAGAACAGACACCTCAGCGCCACCTGTCTTGAATTCACCCGGTGGTAATAACTTTTCTTATCGCTGATCTAGTCTTTTTGAGTACGCAATATTGTCTGTCTGTCTGTCTGTCATGCTCCTGCTCTTTCCCCTTTTCCTCTTATTACTCTTCGTGTTCGTCCCATTTTTCTCATCGTCATCACAGCCAATACTAATCAATTTTCGGGCATGCTGTCAGGCGAAATGCAAAGTTCTTATCATTATTATCGTTTCCCAAGGACGATGAAGGGACGAGTTCATGGACCGAGGTATATTCAGAATGTCGTTTCGGCAGCACTCTCTTTTACATCATCAGGGTAAAATCGGTGGTTCTTCTTGCTGGCTTTAACTGCTTTAGTCTTGACGTCCGTCTAGTATTATATCCGTGCTCGACGCACGAACGTTGACCTGCTTGTTTGCCGCTGTTTACTATTGACATCTCCGAGATTACCCACTGGTTGACTCGCCTGAAAATTGCCCCGTTCGCGGCCGTCGAAATTGTTTAAAAGCCAGCTTGCTTTCTGGCTTGCCCCACGTCAGCCAACGGACTGATTAGTTGTTTATGCCCGCGTTTGTTGACGTCATCCTCGTGGACGCGGCGGCGAAATAGTGTTCCACGCTGGTCACGTGGCTCCTGGCCGGCTCCTCTCCTATTTTCCTCTGATTTTAGTTGTCTTCAAAGAATGAGTTTGCCCGGATTCCTTATTGGCCTTACTCGAACTGACCCTAGCAGTGTGCGTAGCGCCGGGTACGCAGGATGCAGGTCTATAGCTCTGTTACGTGTGCCAGTGTAGGACAACCTTGTCAGCAATAGTCTGGTCATCTTGCCAGCTGGCTTGCCAGTAATAACCACGGCCGCGTAGGGAGCAATTGTAATGCGAGTTCACCGATCTGGGAGACGTCAACGCTAACAAATAGGTGAAAGTTCGTGCGTCGAACACGGATATAATGCTAGGCAGACGTCAATGTTGAAGCCGTCAAGACTAGCACGCAGCGACACAATTTCACCCTGATGATGGAACTGAGAGTGCTTCCGAAACGTCAGTATAAAAACA